TCTCTCTCTCTCTCTCTCTCTCTCTCTCTCTCTCTCTTCGGGCGTCGGAAACTTCGGCTATGCCAAAAGAAGAAGAAGAAGAAGAAGAAGAAGAAGAAGAAGAAGAGGAAGAAGGGGGGAGGAAGAAGAAGAAGAAGAAGACGTAGAAAGGGGAGAAGAAGGAGAAGAAGGAGGGTTTTCCCTCACTCGTCACTGCGACGAAGTGTCAAAGTGACGAGTGTGGTTGGCTTCACACAGGGTTGCGGGGGCCGACGCTGGCCAGTTCGACTTCGGATGTTTTCCCGCCAGAATCTTGGAAAACTGGCGGGCCTACTGGACCCGGTTCAATTTTTTGGGGGGCCGGGAGGCCTCCACGACCTGCAGGGAGGCCTCCCGGCCCCCAAAAAAATTCAAAATTTGCCGCGACAAGTCGGCGCAAATTCTAACCGGGGGGGAACCGGCGTGGTCCACCGGCCCGGTTCCGGTGGGGGAAGGGCCACCCAGTAGGACCGGATATTTAGCCCTGGTTTGTATTGCAATTCTACACAACATTTTTTTTTCTGGATTTTTTTTTTTTTTTTTTTGACGCTGAGCAGTGTTGCACGTACCGACCGTCGGTGCCCCCCGATCCATCGGCCGCCGACCCACCGACCGGTCGGTATGTCGGCTGCAGTTGTCGTGCCGCACTTTTCCGCGGCGGTGGCCCGAACTGCAAAGGCCCAGTTTTTGGGGTCTGGGCCGGTCGGGGGGTGGTCGGCCGTTCACCGCACGGCTTGGAAGGCCGCCGACCAGTCGGCACCGAAGTTCCCACGGTCGGCCAGGCTATTAAGACTGTGGCTGCCCACAATGTTCTCACTCTCTCGCTGTGGCATTGTGGGCTGCCGTTAGTGTGGACAGCCGTGAGTGTGAGCTGCTGTGCTTGGGAGGGAGACATGTGCAGCGTGGAGGGGATGGGGTGCAAGCAAGAAACTTGCAGAGAGAGAGAGAGAGAGTGCGGTCCACCATTCAAGAAAGGCTTCAGATTTCAGCCTTCTCCAGTCAGTCTGCGTGTGTGTAACAGCACGACAGAAGCAGTGAGAGAAAGGCAGCTTCTTCTTCTACTTCTTCTTCTTCTTCTTCTCCCTCTTCTTCTTCCTCGCAGCATCACCCACCCCCACTTGTTTTTTTTTTTATTTCGGAAATTCGCAGGGCACTCATCAAACACCCCATTTTCTTTCTTCTTCTTCTTCTTCTTCTCCTTCTTCTTCTTCTTCTTCTTCCCCCCACCATCACTCATCCCCACTTCGTTTTGCTTTTTTTTTTTTTAATTCGGACTAGATGATCCGTTGCGGCTTCGCCCGCAAAAACAGAAAAAGGGAAAAGCACAAAAGAAAGAAAACGCATAAGGAACTGCCCTATCATATGCCGCTTCTTTCACAATAAGAAAAAGAAGAGCCTGAGAGCAGATGAAAACCCGCGTGCAAGAAAATAGCAGGGAATACCACCGAACATTCTTTTTTCTTTATCTTTGCGTGTTTTGTTTGGGGAGCTGTTACCTTTGCAGCATCGTTTTTGTTTTGTGCTGTGCAAGAACTCTGGACTGTTCTGAGAAAATCCAGTTCGTCGTCCCGTTGATGTTCTTGGTAAAGATTCAGAATCAGACTTTGTTTGCTGTGTTTACTGGATATGTTTATGATCAAGCGATCTTGCATGTATGCCCCGTGCTTACTTGTTGATTTTTGACGCTATGTGTGCAAGCGCATGCGCGTGTGGGTGAGTCTCAGTTTGGTGGGCTCCGATGATGTCAGTGATGATTGGCCCGGGGAAG